AACGACAGCGAGTGGTGTTCGATAATGAGGACTTTGACTGCCATAGCAACTGTGAAGCGGATGACGAAGGAGACGAGGGGAGTACTTATTCTTTATCTTTGCATGACTTTCAAGATCAATCTCTTGAAATTCCAAAGCAAATTACATGTCTAATTGATGCTGCTACCGACTCAGATCAGTCATCCATCTCCCGTAATAATGATCATCTTCTTCTTCCTTGGCATGGTGAAGGTATCCCTGGTCAGCAGGTTATACATACTCCTTCAGTCATCTCTACTTCTAAATGGACAAAGTTAGTCATGGTTAAGGCTTGCAAAGCTTTCGGCGTCAATGCTATCGGATTTGAGCATGAATTACTGGGCATGATTCTCAGAATGGATCAACGAAGACAAGATCAGGCTAAACAGAGGGTTTCATCATCAGAAGGTGACTCGAAGATGAAGAAGAAAAAAGGGGCAACTGAATTAAAAAGGTTATCTTCGGGTTTAATTCAAGATGTTGAACCAATCAAGGTGAGGGGTAGGAGTCACAAAGCACAATCCAGATGAGAACAAAAATTCTCAGTTGGAATGTCAGGGGTCTGAATGACAGTAGGAAGCGGAGTACCATTAAGTCTCTATTAATGAAGTGGAAGGCTGACATAGTTTGTCTTCAAGAAACTAAAATTGAGGATTGGTCACAACAACTAGTCAATTCTCTTTGGGGGAATAGATGGGCCAGCTGGGCAGAATTACAAGCAAACGGTACCAGAGGGGGAATCATAATTTTGTGGGATAAAAGGTTCTGGAAAAGTGTCAACATTGAACCAGGAACCTACTCAGTCTCTGTAATTTTAGAGAGTATCCAGGAACAATTCAGATGGTGCTATACAGGATTGTATGGACCACATACAAACAGCGAAAAGGAGGATCTTTGGTATGAACTAGCCTCGATTAGGGGCACTTGGGATGGTCAATGGGTGTTGGGAGGAGATTTCAATGTGTGCAGATTTGACTACGAAAAATTCAACTGTCATAGAAGGACTAGAGCTATGGAGAACTTCTCAGAAACCATACTAGATTTAGGACTCATGGATTTACCTCTGCGAGGAGCGCAATATACATGGTCAAGAGGAACTGGGCTTTTGCAGGCATCGAGAATTGATAGATTCTTGATCTCATCAGAGTGGAATGACAGTTTTAAGACAATAAAGCAAGTGGCCCTTCCTAGAGTAATATCTGACCACAAACCTTTGATGCTTGAATGTGGGGAATGGGACTCTAGCTCATCCTACTTCAAGTTTGAAACATGTGGTTACAGGCTGAGGGGTTCCTTGATTCAGTTAAAAACTGGTGGAGTAGCTATGAAGTAGAGGGCAATCCTGATTTCGTTCTAGTACAAAAGTTGAAATATCTAAAAAAGGATATCTCTACTTGGAATAAGGAGGTATTTGGGAAGTTGGAAGAACAAAGAAGCCAGGCTTTGAATGACCTCACTAATCTAGAACAATCTTCTGAAGGCAGAATCCTTTCCGAGGCTGAAAATGCTCAAATGATTAACTTGCAGACACATTTAGAACAATTAGCAAAGATTGAGGAGGTTTCATGGAGACAAAAGTCAAGATGTTTATTGCTTAAGGATGGGGACAGGAACACTAAGTACTTTCAGAGCGTGGCTAATGCTAATAGAAGGTACAATTGTATTGATAAGCTAAAAATAGCGGAGCATGTAATTGAGGATAAAAGAGAGATCAAGGAGGAAATTTTGAGCTACTATCAGCATCTGTATACAGAAAATGAACCATGGAGACCATCGGCTAGATTTGAGAATTTAGCTAGAATCTCTGAAGCAGAAAGTACTTGGCTGGAAAGGGAGTTTGAAGAGGAAGAGATCTTCTCAGTTATTAAAAGTTGTGCTCCTGATAAGGCTCCGGGGCCGGATGGTTTTACCATGGCATTTTTCCAACATGCCTGGGAGATTATCAAGTACGAGATCATCAAAGCTTTGAGACACTACCACCAACACTGCCACATGGTCAAATCTGTAAATGCCACTTTCATATCCTTGATTCCTAAAAAGAAAGGGGCAATTGAGCTCAGAGATTATAGACCAATCAGCCTTATTAGCAGCATTTACAAGATAACATCAAAGCTTCTGGCAAACAGGCTCAAAACAGTGATTGGAAAATTGGTTTCTGGAAGCCAAAATGCATTTGTTCGAGGAAGGCAAATATCAGATGCAGCCCTCATTGCTAATGAAGCTCTAGATTGGAAAATAAAGAGTGGAGAACCAGGGTTGCTAGTGAAGCTAGACATTGAGAAAGCTTTTGACAAAGTAAGCTGGTCATACTTACTTACTCTCCTGAGGCAAATGGGGTTTGGTGAAAGATGGATGAAATTCAGTATCACAACAGTCAAGTATTCTATCTTGGTGAATAGATCACCTGTGGGTTTCTTCCCTCCCCAAAGAGGGATTAGACAGGGTGATCCTATTTCACCATTCTTATTCATCTTGGCAATGGAAGGCCTCAGCAAAATGATTCAGAAAGCAAGTTCTTTGCATTGGATTGAGCCATTTAAGATAGGAAGAGATCCGACATCTCAAGCTAATGTATCGCATCTGCTCTATGCAGATGATACATTGATTTTCTGTGGTGCTGAAAGATCACAAGTGATGCAGCTTAATCTAACTTTGTTTATTTTTGAAGCTATTTCAGGTTTACACATGAATATGCAAAAGAGCACTATCTACCCAGTTAATGAAGTTTTAAATCTGGAGGAGCTGGCTGATATCATGGGCTGCAACATTGGCTCATTTCCTTCCACTTATTTGGGTCTTCCTTTGGGTGCTCAGCATAAATCCACTGAAATTTGGACAGGGGTTATTGGAAAGTTTGAGAAGAGGTTGGCAACATGGCAAATGCAATACCTCTCCTTTGGTGGTAGAGTAACACTTATCAATAGTGTTCTAGACAGTTTACCTACTTATTGTATGGCCTTGCTCCCAATGCCAAGTGAGGTTATAGAACAGATTGACAAGATAAGAAGGGACTTCCTCTGGAAAGGCAACAGGGAGAAACACAAATTTCATCTCATCAAATGGGAGAAGGTCACACAACCAAAATACCAAGGAGGTCTTGGCATTAAGAACCTTGCAACCCACAACAATAGTATGATGATGAAGTGGCTTTGGAGATACTACTTGGAAGACGCAGGGCTCTGGAAAGAGGTCATCATAGCTAAGCATGGAAGGCTGAATCAATGGTGCTCAAATATTACCACACTTCCTTACGGAGTGGGACTGTGGAAGAGTATTAGGATGTTGTGGGATACATTTGATCAGAACGCTTACTTTGAATTAGGCAATGGTGTACTCCTAAAATTTTGGACTGACAAATGGCTTGGAAATACCACTCTTCAGGAGGATTTCCCAGATCTGTTTAGAATTGCTCAAGATCCCAATTCTGTTATTGCTGCTAATAGAGAAGGGATCAATTGGGATCTGAGATTTAGAAGGAATATGCACGATTGGGAAGTGAATGATCTGGTAGACCTTCTTGCTAGACTACAACACTGTCACATAATCTTCAGGCAGCTGATAAGCTCAAATAGGGACACCAGAAAGGAGTTTATACTGTCAAGGAAGGGTATCAACAGTTGTGCTCTAGAAACTCCGTGATAGCTAACTGGCCATGGAAACTCATTTGGAGGACCAAGCTACCACCTAAGGTAGTTTTTTTTACCTGGATAGCTCTATATGAGGCATGTCTCACCCAAGACAACATAAAGAAAAGAAAAATCCAATTCCCAAACAGATGCTATATGTGCAAAAAAAGAGGCTGAAACCCCAGACACCTTCTTCTTCATTGTGAGGTGGCCTCAGAATTATGGAGCATGTTTTTTTGTCTCTCTGGCATTTGGACCACACCCCTCACTGTTAAGAATGAATATGAGAGTTGGAGTCTATGGAAAGTTGACAAAGCCATCAAGAAGATCTGGATTATGATACCTGCTTGTATTTTTTGGTGTATTTGGTTAGAGAGGAACAAGAGATGTTTTGATGGAGAGTCAACTGCTTTAGGCATTTTGAAGACTAGGTGCACTGAAAATTTGTTTAGTTGGACCAACTTGTATCCTGCTGTTAATGCAGAACAACTTCAGGATTTTACTAACTCATTAGCTCTGGTTAGATAGTTTGTATAGTTAGCCAGAGATTTTTTTGTAAGCTCAAATGCCATATCTTGTAAATTTTGCATCTTCCTGATGCTGTTATTAATACCACTTATCTTATAAAAAAAAAAATATTATCCTATTTGGTAAAGGATTGTATTGTAGTGTTTATAAATAGGGTCCTTGTATTTGCTTACACACTTGATTTTTGATATGCGCTAGTTGAGTTGAAGCTATATGGGAAACAACCTCTATATATTCACAAGGCAGGGGTAGGGTTGTGTACACACTACCCTCCCCAAACCGCACTTGCAAGATTACACGGAGTATGTTGTTGTTTTACAATGAGAAGAAAAGACAAATAAAATAATTTATTGTAAATTACTAATAGTTCAACAGTTCCAAGGTTAAACATGAATCAGAGATGGCTCCAAAATTCAGATACACAAAATGCTCAAGTAACCATCCATGCTAACCGCAGAATGTTAAACTACTCAAGAATCTGTGTGATGCATGAAACACTAACAAGTTAAAACAGAAAGTAAGCATTCTGGATTTTTTTTTTTTTTTTACAGTATATTTCTAAGTTTTTACCAATTTGTTTAAAAATACACAAGCTTTTGCTAGTTTATCATGGGGATTTTGCTGAATTCCATGTCAAGAAGAAATAAAACTTAAACAGCTTAAAAAAAAAAAAAAAAAAAAAACTTCAAACAACTCATTAACCTAACCAAACCAAAGGGAGATAGCTATTATGCAAGGTTAAATGTAATTCCACTAGTCATAATCTGAAGGAAAACACAAATTTTAGGGTAAATAAAAAATGTGATTGAAGCAACATAGCGTATTTACCCTTGATGAGCCTTTATTGGCACTTTTTCCCTGCACAACAAGAAAAAGGAGCAAACTTGATGAAAATATAGAATAGAAATGAAAATTGGCTTGTTGTTTACAAAATACAAACTTGTTGCACATAGAATAGAGAGAGAGACTCTTACAGAATCCCAATGAGTGCGTCTTCTGCGTTCCAAGATTGGGGAAGAATGAAAAAGAGAGGCCCTTATGTGAATAGGGTTCACCTGAGAGCTGATTAACGCCGCCCTATTCATTGCCGGAGATTCATGTAAACAACAAACGAACAAACAAACCTCACAAATTCAATTTCATATGAAAATGTTGTGCTCTTTCCTTGCTTTAACATGTGGGCTCACCTGCTAGTTTTTAGGGCTTGTCACACCACTTTGCAATCCTACGTTTTCAATGATTTTTATTGTAAAAAAATTTTCAACCTATCATAAATCGAATTGAAAAAATTGTTATTGGGTTATTTTTAATAGAAATTTTTTCAAAATATTAATATTTTGACATTTAATAGGACTACTTAGTTACACTTTTAATATTTATTTAAAATATCAATATTTTAGTTTGTTATGTATTTGATTTTATGTATTTCTTATTTGTTTTGATTTTGCAAGAATACAATTATGGGAAAAATTTCAAAATGTCAATATTTAGTTTGTTATGTATTTGATTTTATGTATTTTTTATTTGTTTGATTTGCAAGAATACAATTATGGGAAAAATTTCAAAATGTCAATATTTTGACATTCAATAGGACTCCTTAGCTACACTTTCAATATTTATTTAAAATGTCAATATTTAGTTTGTTATGTATTTGATTTATGTATTTCTTATTTGTTTGATTTGCAAGAATACAATTACTCTATTTAACAACAAAAAGGAAAAAATCAGGGAAGATAATATTTTTAAAAAATGAGCATATCACTTAAAATTCTCATCAATTACAATTTCAAAGAAATTCTCTTTCTCATTTGATTGAATCAACAGTTTCAATCTCCATTTTTCTCCCTTATCAAGATCTTAATCATGGATGGTGAAATTAAGAACATCAAGAAATGGAACATACATGACTACCAAATATATTTTTCTTTTATTTGTATTACAAAATATTACTGATTGCATCCCAATATAATCTAATTATTACATATGAATATGATTTATGAAAGGAAACAAGATTCTAGAAAAAAATAGCATACATGGTGGAAATAATACAATCTGTTGAGGAATGATACAATATTCTAAAATAAGTACAAATTGACTGTGAAGGAAATAAGAATACAAGATTCTGGGGAAAAAATAGCATACATAGTGGAAATAATACAATCTGTTGAGGAAGGATACAATATTCTTAATATATATATATATATATATATATATATATATATATATTTATGCTTAAGAAATACAAATCCATTTGACATACCTATTGGAATGACTACAAACTAAAAAAGAAATACAATGTTCTTAATAAAAATACTTGGTGAATATGAAACAAAATCACAAGAAATCTCACAAAATACTTGTTGACTCGAATTTACCTTTATCAATGGGTGAAAAATCTTTTGAATTAATTGTGAGATTTCTTGAACAAGTGTAGGAAATTCGAAGAGTTGATTTTCTTGAACAAGGAAATGAGATAGCAATGATGAAAAAGGGAATAGAGAGAAAGGAGTGATTTGAGGTAAAACCTAGAAAGAGGGGTAAGTGGGTAATTGAAGTATTTTTTTTTTAATTTTTTACCGGATAGTGGAGTAAAAAATGGTCCAATGTGGGACTGATTTGAAAAATAAAAGGAAAGAAAATTAATTATATTTTATTTTCTAAAATATTGACATATTGACATTTTTAATAATTATTTTAAAGTGTATATGTTTTTAATAATTATGTTAGAAATTGTGACTAGTTTGCTAATTTTTCTTGGGTTCTATTAATTGTTTTAATTGGATTACCGCTTTAGTTTTGGTTTTTAATAGTATTAGATTAGTTGGTAAACGATAATCTATCAAGACTGTAGTAATTTACTACTTCTACTTTATACATAAATATTAAATATTAATCTCAATATCTTACTAGTTATTATCTTTGTCTTTTAGCCTTCAATTCAGACTTCACATTGTACAAAACGTCAAAACCTAAAGTAATAACCATATTCCTCTTAATTTCTCTTTGTGTTACACTTGTATAGTTCTTTTCATGTAAGTTATTATTGTTTCTATTTTATGAGCACTTGTAAAGTAACATTATTGTCTTGTCGCGTCAAATTTGTTAGAAAAGTCATATATTTGTTTTATAAACATTTTTATTGGTTAAACCGAAAACTAAAAGGTTAAAAACCAAAAATCGATAAAAAAAATATCTTATTTGTTTGGTTATTGATTTGGTGTATTTAAAAACCAAAAATCGATAATACATAAGATCGAACCAAACTGATCGATGCACATCCCTGCAGTTTTACCGTCCTAAATATTTCATTTTCAATCTCTTTTTAAAAAATATATTCTACAATCAATTAGAGCTAAGTTGATTTAGCAATTATGTCATACTAGTGAATTTGCTCTTGTTTTGCTTTAAAATAAAATTAAAATATGGCTATATATGATTATTATTCGAATTCTTAAAATTATAAATTAAACTTTAATATTTGGTCAATTTTTTTCAATATTCTTCAACCATAATATTATCAATTATATTTTCAAAGTCATCACCAAATATAGGAAAAGAAAACATAGCTCAACAAATTTAATAATAAGCAAATAAAAAATAATGCATTCTTAAGCAAAATTCAAAATATATCTCATATTATTACTACTATTATAGAAAAGGCTAGTTTCGATATGTTAGCTTTTTGTTACTTTACTTTACTTTTCTACTATTATAAAAAAGGCTAATTTCGACATATTAATTTTTTGTCTTTAAACAACAAAGTTAGAGTCTTTTAGTCATTTCACTCTTTCAAGCCAATATGGCTAAAATATATGTGTCTCCACGTCTAGCTTTTGAATCCTGGTTTCATACCATGATATGTGGCAATTTAATAGGCTAAAGTTCTTTGTGTGCATTAATATTGCTCCACCTGTTAACTAATATTAATGTCATCATTATATCTTCTCACTTCTCAATGAACAACATTAATTTCTTCATGGGATTTCTTTACGGTTTCTAATTTAGTTTTGTATCTCTGCTCATTACTTCATCAACATCAATTACCAAAGTTTCACAATTTTGATGGAAATTTTAGCTAATTAGCATATTATTTCTCTGATATGGATTTGGATCTAATATTAATGTTAGTATTTCTCTCTGTTTTCTCTATTCGATAATTTATTCTCAATTTTTTTGCAGGGAGAATTTGGATCTGATTAATTTTCTAAGAAGAATGATATTTTTAGTCAATCATACGAAAGAAAAAGTAAGCATTTCTCATGAGTGTAACAATCTCCTCTTATTTGTTCTTTGTTCATAGTTTTTTGAGATTAGGGAGTAATTTGAATTATATATATGGGACTCAAATGGGTTAAGGGTTCAATATCTTGTCCAAGTGTCGAGTTTATGAAAAAGGGATTTTTTTGTTATTGGAATTTTTCTTGCATTTCATACAAAATGATCTTGCTTGAGGATTTAATTTGGATTTGCAGGGTTCCAAAGCTATGTTCTTTTGAAATGGATTTGTTAATTCCTTGAATTTTCCTTCGAATTTGTGGAAATGTTATGCTATTAAGGAAGTAATATGAATTGTATATCATGGGAGGTTGATGTATTAACTATATTATATGAAAGTGAACTTTACAAAGCAAAAATGGTGTAGTCTCCCAAAATAGAGAAGGAACAATTTAGTTAAAGTTTTTTTTATATATAAATGAAGATAAATATTGGAAGTCATTTTTGAGTTTTGAGTCAAATTGGGCTAAATTATAGGAATAGTATTATTAACTTCTTCATTCACAATTGTTGAGGGATTCACCCTTTTTAAGTCATAGTAGTTGATTTGATTTGTGAACTACATAAGAAAAACATGATTCAGCAAATCATAACGCCAAATACTCACCAATATTCAAAACTATACACCCAAAATTCGTGTTACTTTTACTTGTTGTGATGTTAGATTAGTTGTACTATTAACTATCTTCCTATGAACTATTTTACCTACACTCTTTGTGAACTCTTCATACTTGAACACAAAGCTATAATTTTCTCATCTCATTTAAATTTCTCCGATACTCAATGGAAGAATGAGAGATGAATGGGGAGTTTTTCTAATCGACAACCATCACTTGTGACCTACTAGGACTGACAGTTCGGTCACCTAGTTGTTTGTTTGGATTCTGTGCAAGTTTCTGGTGTTTTGGAGCTTTTGAAACTTGAATGGTTGACTTCGGTCATATGTTCAGAAAGAAGGTTTCATAATGTAGTTATGAAAGTTTCGTTAGCTTTGGAACATTGAGTTCGATATAGAAGGACCTTGTGTGTGGATCCCAAGACTTCCGAACTCATCCGAGCCTTCTCGTGGAATTTGGCTTAATATGGATCTTAGATGTGGGATCCACTTTTCATTGAGACGACTTCTATTGGAAGTTTTGAAATCTTTGTTCAGAATGACGAATTTGATGGGGTAGCATATCTCGATTGCGTGCATAGGATTTTGAACAAATTCTGAGCACTCTGTTAGGGATTTTCAGACTTTGGGTGGTTTAACTGATGCACCAATATCTAGTGCATGTGGCATCCTTCATTGCTTTCGAGATAAGCCTTCGCGAACGTGAAAGGCACCGCACTTGACCATTGCAGTCATGTGAGCCTTGGCTGCGATTTAGACTGGTAGCTCTGGGGGTTGACCACTTTTGGTCACCGTGATCATGAGGTTTGACCTATACAATCACGTAGGACCTTTTATCTAGGGGCGATGATTGCGACCTGGGGTCTGTGGTTGCGATGAGTAATTGTCTGGTCTTTTAATTAAGACCAAAGCGTGATCCAACTCTTATTTCAAAAGTTCCAAGTTGAGTTTCTCGAGCAATACACCTCTGAATTGAGTTATTCTTGTTGCATTTTGGTCTAGATAGTGCATGGATATGTATTGGAGTGTTTGGGGAAGTGTGGAGAACGTCATGTTGAGGTAATTATCATCCCAAAGGGACTGCCTAGCCTCTTAATTGGTGTTTTAATGTAAATTGTTGCATGTTGCTGAAATCTGCTATTCTGAGCCTTAAACTATGTCCCATTTTGGGACACAAGCTTGGTAAGTTGTTTGGGAGATTTTGACGGAGTTAATTTTGAGATTCCCAACGTGGGTCTCACAGTTCATTTGTGACTTGATTTTGTACATGTCTCTAATTATTGTGCGTTTGGTGTCAAAACGTTTGATGTTGTGATTCTATTTTTTATAGCATAACAGTGATCAA